GCACAGCGTCAAGACCCTATTGGGGTGCTATTGTCCTGCTTCTCTCTCTCTGTCACTCTCATAGAAAATAATGAATAAATAAACCTAAAAATACTAAACTTGCAATATAGTAGTGCCTTCTCAAACGATATTAGGTAAACAAGAGATCATGGTTTGCTCATTTTTCCTCCCTTCACTATGTGATAGAGCTCTTGGCTAAAGAGTTTTAGGCCAAGACCAGCAGATGGTATAATGGTAACATTGCTAGATTCCCACATGGCCAACCATGGTTCAAGTCCCAGACCCAGAGACGAAACTCATGCCAGGCGTGTGGGTGCATGTGTGTGTATGTGCACCCAAAATCCTGAGAGGAGAATAGAGAAGGGATTGCAGCATGGCCATCCCCCTGGGGGGTGATTTCTTGCTTTCTGTCTCTCTGGTGAGTGCACGAGCCCTATAGTAAAAAATCTCTCCAAAATAAATAAATAAAATAAGGTCCATTGCTTGGTTTTCAAGTTCATTGGATGTGACTTCAAACAAAAAACAAAAAAGTTATCAGTGTCATCGATGTGAATATTTTATTTGAAAACACTGCCAAAGTAGAATAATGTTTATAAATTAGAATTTGACACAAAATTTAGTTTATGAAGTAGAATTTAACACAAAATGTAGTGGCTTCTCTTTCAGCATACATTTATCAAGCATGTGTTATAAGCTAAGCCCTATGTTTACGTGATAGGAATACAGTGGTGAATAAGACAAATGTGAATTGTCCTCCTTGTGGGGTCTCAGCGTTCTAGTGCCACTGTTGTCCTCTAGAACTCCCCGTGATGGTAGGAATGCTCCGGGTCTGTGCTGCCTGTCACAGTAGCCACTTGATACATGTGGCTGCTGAGCACTTCCAATGTGACTAGCACAACTAGGAAACTGAGTTTTAGATTTTATTTAATTTTAATTAAACTTCAATACTCACGTGTGGCTACTGACTACTGCATCAGACATCCCAGCTCCAGAGTCCAATGTTGTGAGTGCAAGATTCATGTAAAACCTTAACTTTCCAGAACCATCTGGCCAGAGCCGGTAAGAATGGCCCTGAGGCCCTACCAGGTCCTTGATCATTAGGCAAAGATTTTAGTAACTCAGACATTCTTAAAGAGCTATTTCAATAAAACACATTTCTCGCATATCCACAAGTCCAGCATTACTAAAGAATCTTGAGTTAATCCAGCTGAATCTGAAGGCCTTCTTCCTCTGGGCCTGTTTATATACTTCAAATTCTTATCAACCCAAGGAAAGTCACTTGGCACAAGCTCTGAAGAGAAAGGGGGTGGAAGGGACATTGTGGCACTTCGGCTTCTCAGCTTATTAAAGAGTTACTATGACTCCTCACCTGTCTTCTCCCTCCCCACTGTAAACGCACACAATTTTATACGTATGAGGAGATTTCAAAAAGTTTGTGGAAAAATGGAATTCATGTACAAGCTTCTTTTGGTGCAAAGAGTTTTAAAATCCGCTCAATTTTTTCCCCACAATATACACCTTTAATGTCCTTTTGAAGGCTTCTTGTATACATAGTACACAATGATTCATTTTCTGTGCCAAGAAGAATGTCCCCTTGGCACCCACACTAACGTGTTGACAGCTTCAAGTAAGGATGGATATATTTGGCCCTGTGCATTTTTTTCCTCCAGAAAAATGCCCAGAACAGGTCCATCCCTTGCAGGGACAGCTGTGCTGATCACTGTAGTCCCCAGCCCTGCATTCGCACACCTGGGATCAGACTGGAATATTTGGACAAACAACAAGAGTAGCTCCGGAAGGCAAAAGGTCAGAGATAGCATTATGCACTGAAGGTACGTATGGGTGTAGCTATGAGTGGGCAGAATGTGAGAGGGTCTGTCCTACCCTCTAACCTCTGGTGAAATTACGTGTCTTCAAGGCATAATTGCTTTTAGTCCTCGCCTGGGGAACTGTCCTGCCTCTTGGCTGTCTAACAACTGAGGCTAAAGCCATCTTACAGGTCTCCTAGCTGCTTAACAGAAAGCTGGAGTCTTGAAAGCTGCCTTGATTACCAAAACTTTTGGGCCAGTTCAGTCACACGCTTTCCTCGGAGCCACTACCATGTTAGCAGAAAGAACCTGGATTGAATCCTGGGGGAAGCATGGCTGGCCTCCAACTCTGGGAAAGGGGAGACACTGAGGGACGAAGCTGCAAAGAGGCAGGGCGCACAGAAATGACTTTGCCTAAACTCCTTCACCAACACTGGTGGTGCCAGACTAGGAAGGCAGGACTTCTTCCAGGTAACCCACAGAGCTGCTCCCCAAGTATAATAGCTGAGCACAAAAAGGGAACAGTAGGCTTCCCTTTTCAGGAACCAGGTTGTTTGTTAGAGGTGGGGTAAGGGGTGATAGTCATTAGTCCACTTCAGGACTGCTGAAAATACCCATGTGCCTACTCCATGTTCTGCTTGCTCAGAGGAATCACATGTCTCTCTCTGGGACCCCTGCAACGATGCCTCTCAATGTAAGGTTCCTGGTCCACCAGCCATCAAACCTACTGAGGATGGTCATTAGCAGATTCCTAGGCTCCACATCAGAGCCCTTAATGAATCAGGGTATCTGAGTCAGGAGAACTTGAATCTGCCCTAAGATTTCCTTCTGGAAACAATCCCCTCATGTAGAAGCCCCAGAGCAGGATCTCCTAAATACCCCAGGTGACTCTGTATAGGTGGAAAGTTCTCGGATTAAGTGAGGAGCAGGGGCAGGCTGGTTGCTCTCACTGTGGTATGGGATTCAGAGTCTGGAGTTCTGAGTTCTTATCCCAGCACTTCTATGAATCATAAGGGTGAAAGGACTCGGTGGCTGAGGTTTGTCCATCCACCTCATTTTGGCCTTTATTGGCCTTGTACTGTAACCTTCTAAACAAACTGGGGCATGGGTTTTTGAGCTTCAAAGCAGTGTATCCACCCACGCTGTTGATTGTGAGATGATTTTACTCTGATGACTTTTTTGTTTCCTTCACGCAGTGGCTTGGTTTCTCACTTGTGAAGGTGTATATACATATTATATATATAGCTTCATAATATATATAAAAGTGACATATTCATTGCAAAGAGAAACATATCAAACATTACAAAAATGCCTCTCCCCCCATGGTCAACCCTGCTCAAAGATCATTCTTATTGACCATTTGATATACATTATTCTAAACTTTAAAAATAAGCATGTCTGGGGAACCAGCAGTTAGCGTAATGGCTATGTTGCTGGACTCCCACATAGTCGACCGTGGTTCGTGTCTCGGACCCGGTGGCTTAAAACTCATGCCGGGCGCGTGTGCGTGCATGCCCAAGATCCCGAGAGGAGAATGGAGGAGAAGGGATTGCGGCGTGACCATCCCCCCTGGGGGGTGATTTCTCGCTTTCTGTCTCTATGTCTCTGTCTGTCTGGCGAGCGCACGCGCCCTACAGTGAAAATCTCTCTCAAAAATAGAAAAATAAAAAATAAAAAAATAAGCATGTCTGAGCAGCAGCAGCACAACTAACATGCATCAAGTATTGATTATGGATCAGGTAATATGGTTAAGTTTAAACCTCAAGCAAGCCCATGAGGTAGGTATCTTTCTCCCTAATGAGAGTTAGGGACATTTTATAAACACATATACATATACACAAACACCGAACATTTATTTTCACAAAAATGGGATGATGCTATACCTACTGTACTGAAACTTGCTTCCTTTGTTCTTAATGTATTACAAACATTTTTTCCCGTAACTATACATACTGAACTTTTTTTGGTAAGGCTTTTGCCATAGTGCGCATGTGCTCACTGGAGAGGAGCGACAGAGAGAGATACGGAGAAGAAAAGAGAGAATCACCCTTCAGGGGGATGGCCCCTTCTCTCCATTCCCTTCCTGGGATGTTGGGCACACACAGATACCCAGGGCTCAAAATGCATGTAGGAGTCCAGTGCCTTAACCACTGCGTCACCTGATGGCCCCCATACTGGCATGTTTAATATCTGTAATGTTCAATTACACAAAATCATAATAAGCAGACTTTTTATTATTAAAAATGATATTGGAGGGCTGTAGCAAATTTTTATTTTCAGATATCTTTGCGCATTTCCATAGGCTAACTTTCTAGAAATAGAAACAGTAGGTCAAACAGGGACTATAAGTGCAAATTTTTTATATATTCTGAGCAATCTGGATATAACAGAAAACGAACATATTTGAAAGTCTCTTTTAAGTGCTGAAAGTCTTTTCAAATATAAACTCGAATACAAGGTAAGGGTCAGGACATGTGTCTCCCAGAGCTGGTTTTAGATTCGTGTTTCTGCCACTTAACAGCTAGGAATCTCTGAGCCACAGAGAAGGCTTACCCTCCATCAAGGCCTTGATTTCTTCGTGTGAAATGACGACGTGATAAGACATGCTTTCTGAAGCCCCTTTGGCTCTACCTTTCCTCCATTCGGTGGTGCTTTAGCTCTTTGCCTTTATTTTCTTATTTATGAAAAAGGATTTGGTTCTTTTGGCCTTCCAGGACCAATTAATCAATGCATCAATTAATTAGGAACTTCCAAACTTAGAAGTGCTAAGTAATTCTCTTATTACTTCTAGAGGAAACAGATGTCTACTGGGTATAACCTCGAACTGCTTTGGCTTTTACATGCATTCCTGAGTCTTTAAGAAAACAAGATACTTATGGAATCCAAGAGGCCACTCTGTCTCAGCATTCCGGACTACGGGGTTGATGAGTCACAGGAGGTGTGTGGGAAGGTTGATCGGGTATGACAGCTCTCTTGGGATCTTGCCTTCCTGGAATGAGTATTTCCAACTGTATGTTCCCTAACAAAGAAGGGATTGTGTGAACCAAGACCTCACAGAATATGCAGAGTATACAGATGAGGGGCTTACCCCATCTCTGTCTGTGCTCTTCGGGACAAAGTCTCAGATAGCAAGGCCTTCCATTTTCACTGTGTGCCACAGTCGTTATGCCACTTGACCCTCTCACTACCTCTGACAGGGAGAGTGACTCTGTTAAGATTCAGATGTGGAAATTCAGAGAAGTGTGCTGGCATGTCCCATGTCCTGGGGCAGTGGGCGCAGAGCCCGACAGAGTCCAGCACTCCATCCTCAGTCCTCCGCAGTGAGTCCATGGCGAGTTACTCTCCAATTTCTTTCTTCTGGCCTTTTTTAATGGCTGGACTCCTCTTTGGTGCCCTCTGTAATGCCAGTCCAGACTCATCCAGTTGTAAAGGTGCAACATTGTGGTACGTTAAGGGGCATGTACAAGCAGTAGCATGGAATCTCTCCGAATTTGGGATCCGGCCAATGGTGAGTTTTACTTTCTGAAATGCAAGCAAGAAGAACATTAAATTATTCAAGATTATCCTTTGTATTACTGGTCTTCTGTCTGTCCTCGTTCATACCCTTTGAAGCTTCTGAAGAAAATCCTGTGGTGAACTATAATCTCTGGGCCAGAGGAAGCCAGGGATGCGTTGTCTATTCAGGTGGAAGATAGATTTTATTTTCTGAAGTCAGTTGGCCTGAGCTTTTAGAGCAGATTCCAGAGACCTCTGATGGTTCGCGGATGGGCTCGGTTATACCAAGAATAAAAAGGGCCTCTTGAACCAAGAGAATCAAAATGATAGCACCAGAGAGGAGCAGCCCCAGACAAAACTGGGAGGAAACTGCATTTTGGTAAGTTTCTCCTGCAATCCAGCATATCCTCTCTGTCACACACACACACACACGCATACCCCTTTAACCCTGCCTTTTGAAATCTCATGTTCTCTCCCCTCGCTGTCCCTATCCCAATCTCACATTTTTCTCAAGTGTGGCTTAACAGGAAGGAAAGTCAATCTGATAGTCTTGGGTTCTCTAAAACATGAGAGGCCATTGGCTGTTTCACCTTTCGTTCCACCTCTCCCTCTTCCAAAATCCTTTTTCCTATGTGACCAGTGTTTGAATTTTAAAAGAAGACTGGACTTCCATTGTGACATAAAGAAATAAGTCAGGAATAGTGGGAGTGGGAAGGTAAGGGAATGTTCTAATCTTCCAGATAATTGTGTTGATGGACACCTCGATCTTCTCCATGACATTTAGGGCTTGTTATCATAGAGCAAGAGGGAAAGCAGAATGAACAGAAGAGAAGTGCTGCCTCTCCCACCCCATACAAGTGACTACATCTGGAAAGGCAGTCATGATAAAGTGCAGCCAGCAATATCCAGGTAGCGTTCTGGATTGGATCCCAGGCAAAACCTCCTTTCTCAGCTTCTGAGTTGATGCCAGGACTTCAGACCACAATGCTGTTTGGTAACTTGCAGAAAGGTGTGGAAGATTATATGGACTACTTGGCCCCAGTGTGGATCTTTGACAGAGGAAATGTGTTATAGTTACCAGCTTATTGGATTAAGTCCTTGAAAACTACCTCTCTTTCGCCATGCAAACTCCTATTCAGTCTTCAAAACCCAAACCAAGTCACCTTTTCTGAGATACTCTGCTGTCCTCCCACAAAGAGGTTTCCTACATTCACCCTCTGAGGTCCTATGGCCCTCTGTTCATATCTCAGGACATCCACTACATTAGAAGTATCACATAACCTGCCTGTTTTACCCACTAATCTGTGAGCTCCTAATGCTCATTTTTGTAGCTCTAGAACCTAGCACAGTCTTGAGCATATAGTAGATGTTCAATAAATGGTGAGCAAATGAATGGATGTGTCCTTTCTCTGCCCTTAAGTAGCTACATATCTTAGACAACTCACTCTCTCACTGAGTTTACCCGTTTAGATAATAGAATGGTACAGTGTGTCTAATCAACAGGGTTATTATGTGATGCAGAAGAGCTAAGATATGTTCTTGTTGTTCTTGTTTAGGCTTTTGCCATAGAGGATGTGTCCTGGCCTGGGGGACAGTCAAACTGGTTCCCTGGGGGAGGTAGTGAGAGATGGGACAAACACATGCACACACATACACAGAGTGGAGACAGTACGAGGTGCTGATCAAGTCTTCTTCTTCCTCTTCTGTTTATTGAGGAAAAATGGCGAGTTATATACAGGCTGGTGGGCACCGATTGGTTGCCCGAAATGTAAGTGAGATAGAACAGCATGAACCAATCATTGGTGTGGGTGGATCTCTCCCATTGCCTAGAAACCCAACCGCTTCCAGGGAGAACAATTGGTCACATGATTTCTGAGAAACGGTTTGCTCAGTGAGGAAATGAAACCTAATGGTTTCCAAGATGGTGGATAGCTCAAGATGGCTGATAGCTCAAGATGGCTTCCGTATGCAGTGCTCTCCACAGGGATGTGCAATTGTCAGAGAGACTGAGAGAGGGAAAGTGAGATGTCAACCCTTCTGGGGAGATGGTCATGTGGCAATCCCTTCTCCTCCATTCTCCTCTTGGGATCTTGGGCATGCATGCATATGCGCCCAGCATGAGTTTAAGCCACTGGATCCGGGACTTGAACCACAGTTGACTACATGGGAGTCCAGAGACAGCAATTATGCCACCTGCTGGTTCCAGTTTTCAGAAATTTTAAACCAAGGAATTGTTTCCTCAAGTAAAGCTAATAGAGGGACCATTAGTTGATGTAATGGCTATGTCACTGGACTCCCATGTAGTCGATTGCAGTTTGAGTCCTGGACCTGGTGGCTTAAACTCATGCCAGGTGCATGTGAATGCATGCCCATGATCCCAAGAGGAGAATGGAAGAGAATGGATTGTGGCCATTCCCCCCGGGGGGGGATTTCTCGCTGTCTCTCTGTGAGCACACACTCTCTATAGCAAAAACCTCTCCAAAAAAGAAAGAAAAGCTAATAGGAAAGTCTGATATTTTGGACCATATATATATATATACAGACATTATAAACGTGGACTTCTCTAGTTGAAGCCCAGCATATCACTCCCTTCCTCTCCTCTCCTTCACTCCCATCCCAAGGATGTAAGAAGCATGGTTTGAAAACCAACTCTTTTGCTTCAGAGAGAAGCTGAAGCCCAGAGAAGGAAATAGTTTCCCCAGGGTTATCATACTAAGCAAAAGTAAAAGTAGACCAGAGAAGAAATTAACAATATGGAAACTGTACTAATGGACTGGACCATGATTGGCCCTTTAAAAACACACAGCAGTCCCTCCCCATCAATACCCATATCCATCATTATGCTTTCAGTTACCCGCGGTAAAGTGCAATAAGATATTTTGAGACACATATTTACATACATTACATTTTTTAAGAGAGATTTTTGCTATAAGGCATGTACGCTCGCCAGACAGAGAGAGACAGAGAGAAAGTGAGGAATCACCCCCCTTGGGGGGGGATGGACACACCACAATCCCTTCTCCTCCATTCTCTCTCAAGAGTTTGGGCATGCACACACATGTGCCTGGCATCAGTTTCAAGCCTCTGGTCTGGGACTTAGAACTGTGGTCAGCCATGTGGGAGTCCAGCGACCATTATGCCATCTTCTGGTCCCCATACATTTTTTAAAAAAGAGATTTCTACCTTAGGGTGTGTGTGCTTTCCAGAGAGAGAGAGAGAGAGAGACAGAGAGAGAGAGAGACAGAGATAGTGAGAAGGAAAGTGAGAAATCACCCCCCAGAAGAGATGGCTATGCCACAATCCCTTCTCCTTCATTCTCCTGGGATCTTGGGCATGCATGTATACGCGCCCAGTGTCATTTTTAAGCCACTGGGTCTGGGATTCAAACCATGATCAGCCATGTGGGAGTCCAATGACTCCATCTGGTCCACCACTACTCCATCTGTTGGCCCCTACATAAATTTTATTACAACATATTGTTGTAATTGTTCTATGTTATTAGTAGTTTTGCTGTTAGTCGCTTCTTGTAACTAATTTATAAATTACACTTTATCATTGGTACCTACATATAGGACAAAACAGTATATAGAGGGTCAGGCATCCCCTCGGGGTCCTGGAATGTATACCCTGCAAGTAAGGGGGTACCACTGTAATAAAACTATTGGGTCATCGGAAAAGTCATCACACATTTTTGCATAGAAAACCAGAAGCATACGTCATGACTTTTCCGACAACCTAATACACGGAGCAGCTCATGTACCAGTCATTGTGGTAAGCATGCTCCAGGTCTTATCTCATTGAATTCTCCAACGACTATCATTATCCCGACTTTACAGAGGAGAAAACTGAGATGCACATTGGTGAGAGGTGCTCACTTGCTATCCTGGGTCAATTTGATGTGGCTCTTTTTACCGCGTTGTGCTGGGCCTGAGGTCCTGAACTTAGATGTCTTCTAGCTCAGTGCTCTCTCCTAATGCTACCGTGTATGACTGAACTGTGAAAAAGTCTTTTGGTGGCACATGGGGAAGAGTCTGATCTGTATTCAGAGTACTTTTTTCAGACTCATCTACAAACTTGATCTTATTCCTTTTGGCACTGACTGGCCCTAGGATATACTGTTCAGTGGGACTCACCTCCTTCTGGATGGACCGGGTCAAAAACAGGGAGGCTTCCTCCAGGCTCTGGGGCTTCAGGTCATTCACTGCCAAAAGATGATCGCCATGGCAAAATAGGCATCCCAGCCGTGGGGGGCCTTCCCACCGTGACACGCTGCAGTGGAGACACACATCCAACACCAGGATGAGACGGAACCAGTCAGGAGGGCAGGGCATGGCGCACTGCAGGGCTCCTCCCCCAGAGCCGTGTTGTCCCCCATCTGAGGTAGGCTGGCTCCTTTTTTTGTTTGAGATATCTTTCCATCCAAAGGCTGTTGGAGTTCAGCTTTTCCTGCAAAACCCAGCTGAAGTCGCAGCACCCTTACGAAGGCCTACGTTACACTTCTCTCACTGTAACCCATCTCCCTTCCCCTGGACTTCCACTGCATAGTGTGAGCACCTTAGTTCTTGTATTTGTTTTTGTTTTTTGTTTTTGGAGAGGTTTTTGCTATAGGGTGCGTGTGCTCGCCAGACAGAAAGAGAGAGATAGAGAGACAGAAAGCAAGAAATCACCCCCCGGGGGGATGGCCACGCCGCAATCCCTTCTCCTCCATTCTCCTCTCGGGATCTTGAGCACACACGCACATGTACCCGGCGTGAGTTTAAGCCACCGAGTCCGGGGCTCGAACCACTGTCGAGTACGTGGGAGTCCAACGACATAGCCATTATGCTAACTGCTGGTCCCAGTTCTTGTATTTGTAAAGAAAGTGCATTTTATATTCACTCGTTTGGGTGGCTCTTCTTCACCAGGCTATGTGACTCTGGAAAGAGAGCGCCATCTTTTGTTTGATTTGTTTGTTTTTTTAATTTCTATAACCCTGTGGCTCCAAGTAAACAGAGGCTGCTCAGTAAGTGTTGGAAGGGAGCACATCATGATTGCACAGTGGGTGTCTAATAAACAAGTGAATGAGTCAATGATTAGCAACTGCATTCCTTGAGCCTTAGTTTGTGAAGATTTGGGGGAAATGGGAAGCTGTAGTTCTTGCCCTCCGAGAACTTATAACTGATGGGTAGCATCTTATTTTACAAGAGGCTTTCTTTATAAAAATGAACAGTTTGTCGGAATGAATTACAAAGTCTTTAAAAGAATCTAGAATCTAGTGAACAGTGATTATTTAAGAAATTTCTCTCTCTGCCAGTCTTTTGTGTCTGAGTTGCTAACCAGCCAATTTTTTGTCGAGAAGTCCCTGACCCTAATATGCCTCTTTAGTTCACATTTTTGATTCTTGATAATTTCACTAACTTACATTCATTCATTTGTGCAATGATTAGGAATGCTATCCTTGGACCATATGTATTTCCTGCCCACTCTTCTTTACCTTTAAGAAATCAAACATTTGCTGCTTTCTGGACTTTGGGCCCTTTTCATTCCTGCCCTCCCCCTCCCCCTGTCAACCTCCCAGATGACTTCTATACATTAATAACCTTCCACTCCCATCAAGACCCTTCTGTGAACACAACACAACAGTCCAACCCCCTTCATCGGCTTTGCCAAAGAATGTTTCAAGATACAATTGTTCTCTTCATATCTTCCAACCCCATTTATATCACTAACGATCAGATCTCTGACCTACCATATCCGTCCTGCCGCTTCTGTGAGAGCGAGATAGTTGATGATGTCGGGAGGAGAAAGGAACACGTTCAGTCTCTCCACTTCGCTTTCATCAGGGATGTTACTGTGAGACAAGACGTGTGTAAAAGTCATGGCGGGCAAACAGGTCTGGCTCTGAACTATACTCTGAATAGACTTTTAGCTTACTACTTCTGAAATAATACTTTCCAGTTGTCTAGAACATCTGAGAAAAATCTGAATTTATGTTACTGAAAAGTACTCATTAATGCCACCCCTCCTGGGATGTGGTGTTTGATGTGGACAATGGGAAGGAAGGTTTTACAACTGCCCACATCAGGCCTGTGTGCATATTTCTCTACTGGAAACGATGCCACAGAGGAAAACATGGAGAAGAGTTAAAATAACCACCATCTTATAAGATGCTCTTGGTATTTTAAACCTCAACATCCTTGACCACCATCTTATCACATGCTCTTGGTATTTTAAACCTCAACATCCTCCTCCTGGTCTATAACTGACCCTCACGAGATGTGTACATCCCTAATTATGCTAAGATGAAACGTGGGTGGCATGCTGCTCAGACCCGTGTGGACTGAAGTTCCAGGACCTGAATGAGTAGCCAAGGAAGAATTTTTAAAATAGTTGAAAATGCAACCCCCAGTCCAAGGGACCACTTTGTTTCCAGTTCTGTGAGTCACTGTCCTGGGCCATAATGTCAAGAAGAAAAAGAAGGGCAGTTTCTTGGCTCATTGGGAAACTTTTAGAAACTGCTTTATAATTTCGATGTTAAGTTAAAAACAAACAAACAAAAACACTCGCTTTGCTCTTATGGCCCATGAAGTTCTAGACATTAGTGTTGTACTTGATTAGTATGGACAACTGCACAAGAGTTAGTGAGGCTGACTCCTTTCTGTCATTTGTGGTCCGTGCTTCTGTAACAACAGGTGAAAGACACGAGTCCCTTTCTGAGCCTTGTTCTTGCAGGTGAAGAAGCTCTTTATCCTGGGACTCTGGAAGGGCCTGGGTTTCCTCTTTGCCATCAGCAGACTCCAGAGATGTCTCTTTGAAAAAACTAGAGTATAAGAAGTTAAAAGAAACCTTTTTTTAGCATGTCTATTTATGATTTTCTGCTGTGTGTGTTGGATTTAAGTAGCTAACAGTCGTGTGAAAACTAGCAAGGTCTAGAAATATGTCCAACCATCAGAATCACAGCCATAGTTAGAATCAAATCCAACAAACTCTCCTAAAAATGGGTATGCTATCACCATAACCCTTTATGGGGTTTGGAGGACAGAAGTGGGAGTGTGAGACACATAAATGTGAAATTAAAAAACAAAAACAAAAACAAAACTTCTTTAGGAGATAGAAAATGTCCTGGGAAAGTGACAACTAGTTTTTCGTCACCATTGCCACCTATTCTTGTTTTCAGACTATGGAATAGTGTGTTAAATTTGGTCTGTGGTATGTTTTATATCAATTTATCAACTTTTAAGATAACAGTGTATTAGCTAAAATCAATGTTTAAAATGATGGCTTTACTTACCAAGCTTTCATTGATATGTAGTGACACTCAGTTCTCTTGGAGACCTGGTCTGGACTACCAGGTTCAATGGGTTCATCAGAATCATTGGGAGCAATGATATTATCCAACTGTAGATAAGAGGTATAGACATGAAAACACAGTAAGTTGGGTATCTTCTCACCCCTAGCATTTTGACTCTGGACCCTGAAATGCTAAGTATACCGCCCTTGGATAAATGGTTGTTCTTGTTCAGGGAATATCGGTCAGCTTTACCTACATAAGACTGAAACAGCAAACCTTCTGACAGATTCTAAGTCCATTTTCTTCTCCTGGATCCTCTATGCTCTTGGTATAAGTGTTCTATTGGACTAAATTGCTATTTACCTTTCTGTTTCATCACGAGGCACTTCCTGACAAAAACCCTTTTCTCCAACCAGTTCTATCACAAAATCATGACCTTAGGTGGGGGTGAAAGACTCAGACATAATGTGTAATAGTCTGGCTACTATGCTCACAGGTGGCCCAAGTTGTTTGGGGAGGTCCTCAGCAACCTCCTTAGAACGAAATCATTCATAGCAATGGTTGCTCAAAAACCCTAAGATCTACTTAACATGATCATCGGTAACCCCTAACTGAAACATCCTTCCATTCAAGCCAGTCTTCCCACTGCTCCTCCTGTGAACTCTCAGCCCCCACATTCATGTATTTCCCTGACTGGAATGCCCCTTCTCACTTTCACCTGTTGAAATCATGTTCAGGCTTGAAGTCCCACAGTCCTCTCTGATCACCTCAGCTACTGCCAGCCTCTCCTTTCTTTGAATTTCTAGTGCACAATTTTGTACTTAATCATTTTTGGTCTTTTAGTTTACTTTTACCTGCTTTCCTACATTTTGCATCCCTTAAAGTACCTAGCAAATGCCAGGCTTAGAATCCATGCTCAGTACATACTTGATTGGCTGATTGGACTTTCATAAAGGACTGAGTCCCAGGGCACATAAATATAAAAATATTTTTGGTGAAATAAGAGTTTTGTGCTCAAACGAGCTTGAGAAATGCCGTGTGTTGTATCCCACTCTGCTATCTATATGGCAACACTGCATACTAAAGACTCCAAGAATCTGACGGTTAAGATGCTTGTTTACATATTATAACTTGGCATTTCCAGAATTTATTTGACCCCATAATGTTTCTGTTGTGTGAACAAATGTCACCTTAATGCAGAAAATCCGCAGTTCAGTGAGGTCAGGAGGTAGCACAAAATTTAAGGTGCTGGATCCCACAAAGCCAACTGAGTGGTTCAGTCCTGGACCCAGCAGCTTGAAAATCACACGAGGTGCATGTACGTGTGTACTCAAAACCTTACTGAGAGAATGCAGGAGGAGGGACCGTGGCATGGCCATGGTCATGGCTGATTTCTCATTTTCCCTTACTCTCTCTCTGATTAGTGCACATGCCCTACAGCAACAAACAAACAAACAGCAAAAGAAAACCCCCAGTTTGGGAAATACTACAACTCTCTCACCTCCATTTTGTCTTCCTGTTTCCCTATTCTCTTGTCTCGGTAGTTTGCCCCAAATATAGCTGCTGCATCAATATTACTGGAAAATTATTCAGATTGTGCACTTCCCCATTTAGAATCCATCAGTACTCCTAAGCTGTCTACAGAATGAAGTCGATTTAGCACTCAAGACCCAGCATCGTCTGGCTATTTTTTTCTGTTTTGTTTGTGTTTTTCTTTTGGGGGAGTTGTTGTTAGAGGAGGTCTCACTACATCATGACCCTCCTGCCTCAGCCCCATGAGTAGCCGGGACTAGAGGCATGCACCACAGCACCCAACTTTGTTAGGTCAGAAATCAACATGGGCCACCCACGTGGCCTCAGTCTACTGAGTGGCAGGTGCTACTGCCTCTGTTTATTTCCCACGTTTTCAGTTACACGCTGGTTGCAACCTCACTGAACCTTTCACCATACACATATCAAATGCCACTTCATCTCTGAAGCCTTCCCTGACTGTCTGTGAGATAAAATCTATCCTTTTCCCTATTGCTTCCAGAGCATTTTGACACGTCTCCTGTGCAGCATTATCACACAGTAACAGATCAGCTGAACTCTGGGTCGAAGCACTGTCAGGTCCATTCTTGTAGCCACCCTGCTTAACACAGTACAGTGCCTGACACTCAGAAAACACCCTGTAAGGTTTTCCAATTGGTCTGTAGACTGATACACACCACACATTTTTTCACCCAAGCACCTTTGTTAATATGTTCTTTCTGCCCAGAATACAGGAAAAAGTTCTTCAAATCCACCCTTCGAGTCTGAATATTGCCCATTGCATAAGGCCAAGTCGTCATTGCCTCCATAGAACCTTTCCTGGACTTGTGCCTAGAAGCGAGCTTCCAGTCCTCCCATCCCCTGTGTAACACCAGCCTTTATAAGCATCTGTCTTCAGCATGGAGCCTTTCTGACTCGTACTATGGTTAACGTCTTTTAAGTGTCAGCACCTCGAGCACATCACCTGTGTCTCATTTTCCTCTGTCTTCCCACTGACCACAGCCTAGTGTCTCACAAATAGAGCATGGCAAAGACTCAGAAAGCATCTGTTGAAAGAATGAATAATTAATGAAGGAAGGGGTTACCTCTAAAAGAATACTTCGGGGACTGAGATAATGACCCGCTTCCTCTGAATCTTGAGCCGTATCTGGCAGGACATCATGGGGTGGATGCGCTTGCCTGAATCCTGGAGAACTTTTTTCCATCAGATGCTGAAGGAAAGAGACAGGGAAGAAGTGAGTGCTTTTCTTTCTCTTTTCAAGAGGTAGAATTACATTGCATACTTTCTGGAAAAGTCATCATAGGTAAGTTGGGTTGAAAAGATCAGAGGATCATTCCAGGTTCTATCCAGAAGCTTGTGCACCTGGAACTCATCTTGGGGCATCACTGATGATGTAAAAATCAGTGTGCATCGTTTAGGTCCTTTTCTTTACCATTTGGAGTGATAACTTGAACACATGGTTCTCCTCTGTGGGTGGTATTGTAAGTCACCGAGTTCTGTCATGGAGTCAGATGATACCTGCTTCCAGTTATCATCCAGTGCCATTAAGAAATAATTAATCCAGAATTAAGGCACTACTACTTCTTCCTGCTCAGTATTTCTTTAAAATTATTTTTCTCTTTTGTGTTCTGCTGACATCCTTCTATTGTTGCCATAGCAATGCAATTTGATAGCGTTGATCATGTGATAGTATGAATTAGAGGCTTCAAGGTGAGCTAGTTCAACCAATAAATGCTTTCTCTCCCTCAATAGATACACGATACGCTACTAAAGTAGCTGGTTTGTATGGCAGGAAAATTGCTATAAGTACAACTTAATTCTTCCAAGAATAATGTCTTACAGAGGGGTAGGGAGGCATTTTAAAAGAAGCCAAATGTTCTCTAGGAAGTCCTTGCTGAATGTGATTAAAGAAAATTGGTATATTTAAGTTGTGTCCATTTTTCTAGCTTCAGGCTTATGTCGCCAGATCGTGCTGCACTGGGGATGAAGAAAGTTTCCCACGTAATTTAAACAACAAAATCCCACAGGACAGATGGGACTCTTAACTTGATCCGGTATAGAAATCACTGGATCTGAATTCAAAGCATAAAAAGACAAATGAACAATAATGTTATTCTGGGGGAGAGGGTTTCGCTTCCTAACCCTATTTTATACCACTGTTTCTAATTACAAAATGAATAACTGAGATGGGGTGTTTGACCTGGTGAATTTGCCATGCTACCAAAAGCTTTTAAAATAGTTGGAGAGCTACCAGCGAGATAAAACAGGAGCCTATGCCTCATTAGATGTGCTTGGTGCCCATGGCAAGGGGAAAGTCAGTGGTCGTGTCTCTAAGGGACAAAATAATATCTTTACAGATATCTACCACTCAGTCAGTTCATTACTAATATCCAAAATAAGGACCTGACAAATCTAAGGAAGCTGAGGGTACAATTACAAGTCACTTTTTTTTGGCCTTAGGGCATGTGCACTCACTGGATAGAGAGACAGAGACAATGAGAGAGAAAGTGAGAAACTATCCCCCAGGGGAGATGGCCACACTACAATTCCTTCTTCTCCATTCTCTTCTGAGGATCTTGGGTACAACACACACATGCGTCCAGAATGATTTTCAAGCCACTGGGTCTAGGACTCGAACTATGGCCGGCCATGCAGGAGTTTAGTGATGTAACCACTAACCATCTTCTGGCCCCACAAGTCACTTTCAAGAAGCAGATGTATTAAATTTTATTTCCTCAGGTAGATTTTATTAGGAATGGGGATAGAAGCAGATGTATTAAATTTTATTTCCTCAGGTAGATTTTATTAGGAATGATATATAGCTATAAGGAGAAGCAAGACTAATCAGGGTAAATGAAGAAAAATAGGAAATCCTGCCTTTGCTTGAGGAGCACAAAATATGACAGGAAATTGAGTAGTATTAGTGGAATCCTTTTCTAGAAGAATCTGTGTCCTGGTGGGAAAGGAAGGAGAAGATTTCCAGCCAGCTTCAGCCTAGCCAAGGGATCATACCTAGCATACATAGCTGGATGCATGTCAAAGCGTCTAAAATGAATAAATGTGTAGATGCTTCTCAACTTATGATTGGTTATATCTTGATAAACCCATAGTAAGTTGAAAATATCCAAAGTCAAAAGTTTGTTTGAGGGATCAGCAAATGGTCTAGTGGTTAGGGTGCTAGACTCCCACACAGCCAATTGAGGTTTGAGTTCCCATTGACTTGAAAATCATGCTGGGCACATGTGTGTGTATACCCAATATCCCAGGAGAAAAATGGAGAAAGGACTGTGGTGACGACATCCCCCCTTGGGAGTGATTTCTTACTTTCCCTCTCCTCATCTCTCTTTAGTGAGCACATGCACCCTATGGCAAAAATGGAAACAAACAACAACAAAACCATTTAATATGTCTAACCTCGTCTAACCTACTAGACATCATAGTCTAGACTACCCTACCTTAACTGTGCTCAGAACATATTTCATCTATAGTTGGGTAAAATCATCTAACACACAAAGCCTTTTTTGTAATAAAGTAATATAATTTATTAAATATTGTCCTGAAAGTTTAAAGCAGAATGATTGTATGAGTAGTTGAAGTCCAGTTTCTACTGAATGTGTACCACTTTTGCACCATCCTAAAGTCAATAAATTGGAAGCAGAAACCACTGTAAGATGAGAACTGTCTATATTTGGAGGTAGCAAGGGCACACAGTAGGGGTGATTGGTGGTATAGGAAACAAACTAAATATCAGATAAATACTAGGGCTAAGAATCATCCTTAGAGCACACAGGCTTTGAGAAAGGTAGACAAGGTCAAAGTCAAGTGATAACTGGTAAGATTTTGAAGGGCTGGCTTACTCCTAGCCATGATGGCACAGGGGAGAAAGAGATGAGCTGATTACCATGTTGGGAAGGCTGTTTCTTGGTGAGGTGGAATCCTTCAATATGCTGGAAGAGCCAAGGAGAAGGATGGGGTTTGAAGTACATCTTCTATCATCCGGTGACAATTTCTCCTGCTTCTGAAAAAGGAATAGTGTAACCAGGGCAAGGTTGGTCTTTGTCTGCAATGAAGCAACAGTTTGTCCACTGAGCTGTCTGCCTCCATTTCTTTCTAAACCTACCTAACATCTATGCTGCGGGTCAGCATCAGCTCACTGAAACAACAGCTCTTCCTGTCTCACTGCTGTTGTCATGCCCTTCAGGATGCTCAGCCTGACCTTCAAAGATGTCCTACAGTCCCCCAACCTAACCTCTCAACTGTAGTCCCCTGTGTAACCCCACCCTCTTGATCCAATCATTTTCATCTACTTGTAGACAAGCCTTGCTTTCTCCTTCTCCTTGGCTTGTATTGTAAGCATAGTACAACTTAGAAACATGCCAAAAGATTCATAAAGACAAAAAGTTCCATTTATAAAAGTGTACCTTAAGAAATGACTTGGGTAAATTTCCAAAGGTTCTATTATTATTATTATTATTATTATTATTATTAAGATTTTTTCCATAGGGCACATATGCTCACCAGAGAGAAACAGAGATAGGGAAAGTAAGAAATCACACCCAGAGGGATGGCTTTACCACAATCCCTTCTCCTCTATTCTCATGTCGGGATTTTGGACATGCATGCAAATGTACCTGGCATGATTGTTAAGCCACCAGGTCCAGAACTTGAACTGCGGTCAACCATGTGGGAATCCAGCCTCTTAACCAATAGTTCTTATTAAATAAAAACTTAGAGCTACTAGTACTTTCATGAAAAACAGTATATTAAAAATGCAAGATAGGGGCCAGCAGGTGGTGTAGTGGTTGGGGTACTGGACTTCCATGTAGTTGATTCCAGTTCAAGTCTAGGACCTAGTGACTTAAAACTCACACCAGGCACATATGTGTGTGTGCCCAAAATCTCGAGAGGAGAATGGAGAAGGGACTGTGGTATGGCCATCACCCCCCAGGAGGGGGAGTGATTTCTTGCTTTCTGTCTCTCTGTCTCTCTCTGTCTTTCTGATGAGCACAAGAGCCCTATGCAAAAATCTCTCCCCACCAAAAAAAATGCAAGATAGATTAAGAACATTTTTACAGAAATCACCCTAGACTTAGTTATCAGAAAGGAAGCACATTATGTACCTTGAATAATAATAATTAATAATACTACAGTTCCAGCTACTGTTACTATTTTAAAAATGCTTCCATTAACTTTTAGTCCCCTACCACAAAAATGAAAATCTGAAATGTCTGTATTTTAGCTCTCTGGCAAAATACAAAAGTATTTTTTCCCTATTGTTAATCACTTTTAAAAAATAACAAGAGCGTACATTTTCTCACTTATTTGTTCCTTGTATTAATGTCAGTTGCTAAGGGGGGGGAAAGGCTACCATTGTTTCCTGTTGAAAAAGGGCTATGTTCAGGTGTGCTGTTATTTTCTTAGCAATATAGAGTCACCTCTGTATTCCGATGTGGTGCTTTTCTATCCTGGCAAAATGATGACATGAGGGAGACCCAGTCTTTAATCTTCTCCCTGTTGAGGGGAATAAACTTTCAGCTGGCGTGTGGTAAAGGCAGCGCCTTCATTCCTTTTGAACCAGAGAGGGATTTGTTTTTATTAAGGTTAGAACAGGCTGTGGGAGCAAGTACCAGGGAAGTAAAGGTTTCTTTTCTTAAGTAGCTGAAATGGCCCACTGGCTCCTCACCACCTCCACATTTGTATGCTAGAATTAACCTTCATGACGCTCGAGAAGAAAACTCAGAGAAATGGGGGAAGGAAGTTGAAAAAAATAGTAGTAATCACAGGGTTTGGGGCTTTTGTTTTTGACACTGATTTCTTTTGTGTTCTTAAGTAAGCCCCACTAACCTGTCAGCACCATTTTGTGTAACTATGGAGGTGTGTCTCCCTTAGGGAATGCGTGTGTGTATAAAGAACATATTTGAGTGGATTTGTGTAAACCACATTTTCTTTTCTGTTGACTGCACAACAATATTTTCTTTTTTACAGGTTTTTACTTTAAGGCATGTGCTCTTGCCAGAGAGAGACACACACACACAAAGACAGTGAGAGGGAAAGTGAGAACTCACCCCCCAGGGAAGATGGTCACACGGCAATCCCTTCTCCTCCATTCTCCTCCGGGGATTTGGGGTATGCACACACATGTGCCTGGTGTGAGTTTCAAGCCACCAGGTCTGGGACTCAAACCACAGTTGGCTATGTGGGAGTCCAGTGACATAACCACTCTGACATCTGCTTTTTCCCAACTCCATGACAATTTAAAAGAAAGTTTTTGCCTTTTGCCTTAATCTGAAATAGATCAAGGTTTTTCACATTTGGCTTTAGCATTTGCTGTATCCTCTGCACAATTTCCTCCTCCCACCTCAGCTTCTCCCAAAAGTATATAATCATCTACGGGAAATCCACCAGACATCTTTGGAGCACCAGACATCCCTCTTAAAAACCTAAGATCCTGGGACCAGCAGTTAGCGTAATGGCTATGTCATTGGACTCCCATGTAGTCAACAGTGGTTCGAGTCCCAGACCCAGCGGTTTAAACTCATACTGGGCGTGTGTGCATGCGCCCAGGATCCCAAGAGCAGAATGGAGGAGAAGGGATCGCAACGGG